TTAAGCTCAAAAAGAACAAAGCTCAAAAGGAAAAGGAAGCGGGAAAGGAAACGAAAACGGACGAGACAAAGGACAAGGAAAGGGAAAAGGAAACATAGGAAAAGGAATAGGACAAGGCCAAGGACACGGAAAATGAAAAGCAAGAGGGTGAGTGAGAGTGAGAGGGAATGAGAGTGAGAGTATGTGAGAGTGCGCATTTCAAAAGCACAAATCGCTGCGCCTGCCACGAAATCTGCACTTCGAGGCTCACAAAGCGCTGCGCCTGCCACGAAATCTACACTTGGAGGCTCACAAAGCGCTGCGCCTGCCACGAAATCTGCACTGCGCCACGAAATCTGCCACGAACTCTGCGCTTCGAGGTTCACAAAGTGCTGTGCCTGCCACGAAGTTTGCGCTTCGAGCTCCACAATGTACTGCGTTTGCCACGACATCTGCACTTCGAGGTCCACAAAGTACTGCACCTGCCACGAAATCTGCACTTCAACATTCACCAAGTGCTGCGCCCGCAACGATTTCTGAAAACGAACCAAATGTAGCAAAATCACGATCCATTGCACCTGTCACGAAATTAGAGCGCGTCCAGATCACCACCATATCTAAAGTGCTGCCTTTTGGACCACCAAAGCACGACGGTTCCCTTGCACCTGCCACGAAAAGTGACCATCGTGTCCGAAAATGCGCAGGGCGCCACAACGAGAGCGCAGTCGCGGCAAGCACCCACCGCAGCCCACCAGATTTTGCGAGCCTGCGCAGTCGAAATGCACTTCGAAGATTTCGAGAGGTTGAATGCAGTGTAAAAGCAGCGAATTAGCCCAACGCCCGGCGCAACACCTCGATTAGACACCGGTGCTTTACACCTACCGTACGAACCCCTAAGTCCACACTGCTTGGGGAACTAGCCTAAACACCTGTGCACTCAGAAACTGATTTTCATGATGCCCAATAGGTTGAGCTATTCCATTTTATGGACAAGGCATGAATGAAAATGCACCAGACTTTATAGAGGCTGCAGGCTTTGGTTTTATAGACAGCATTTGGAGTAGTAGAAGGCTGAGAAAAATATCACATGACAGATAGACATTGTAGATCTTGGTAGCGTCACGGGGAAGTCAATCAAACGGATTGCAATGCGCAGGGCACCTTTGGTTTTGAACTGTGAGGGTGCCATCATTCGATCATCCCCCTGCACAATTTCCAGTCAGTGTTGGGATTTTAGATTTCCATTGTCCAATCATCCCTCTATAGCATCATTTTGTGCATGTTGTTGGTTTGTTTAAGTTTGTTTAACCTTTAAAATTACAATCATTTTCAACCCTGCAGTGTCCAAACATGTCTTTATATAATTTTATATAATCACAATCAACCTCTTGTGCCACTTGGGTTATATCATTTTCTATAATCAACTTCAACCTTGGATTTGTATCATTGTTTTTCCCAAATTTTGGCATCAGCATTTATTGAGCAAAACAATTTTGTAGGCAACAGCTCTCAGCACTGCACTAGGTTGAAATTTGATTCTATAGTTGGTCATTCTGTCCTTTGAGGTGGTTTTTTTCGGTTTATCACTATATATATTGGAATTTTATTCTCGACATTCACCGGTAATTCCACAGGGACGTTATATATATACATAACGATCGTAATGGTTGGAACAATCTTTGGCAGAGGCCCCAGGTGCCGGTGACAATAAAAATTCTTACTTGAAAGAGATGAAAGGCGCCTCAATGCTTATATAATTTCACAATGAAGGACATTTGATGGACATTCATGTGTTCTAGCGTGTGGATGTTCTTGATATTCATCAGATCTCTCAGCATTGCAGTTCCCTGGACAAATGTTGATGCCTCGCTTGTTATTTCTGCTATTTGTTGTCGTCACTCTCAAAGTTGTGAAGAGTTTCGCAGTAAGGCTACAAAGGCCACGGTGCCAAGATCATAAATGGCAAGGATCCCGTGGATGGCCGCTTGACCCTTCAGCAATGCAAAGATGAATGCTTGAAGGACGATGCCGCAGGCTGCCAAAGCAAGGAACACCATGATCAGTGTTTTTGGCAGGAGGAGAAGTGTGATGGCATTGTCATGCCACAGGGCGATGGCGAGGACACAGCAAGAAACTGTTGGTTGAGGAGGACTTTGGACTGCAAAGAGTCGTTGCAATGCTTTGCATGGTCTTGCAGTCTTACAGCTTGAGAAGACTGTGTTTGATTGTGTTTGCACAATTGGTGCGTGGATTGGAAGAATATTAATCGGATGAATATTCTTACAAAAAGATAGTTCCTGGCCACTGTTCGCAGCAAATTCCCATGGCGCCCTGGGTTGCCATGTTTCTTAACTGAGGGACGTGCAAAAGTCAAAATGTACTGCAGGCAACGGTGTTCCTATCGTTTGCGTTTGTGTTTTAATGTTCTTCGGTAGAAGTGCTATGCTGCACCGAGATGGCATTTGTACATATAATTTTGCTGTTGTAATATCCTTTACTTGACAGCCTTTCCCAGTGAGCATCCCTAGCAGCCAGGCAGCCCTTACAACTTTTGGGCACAACCTGATTCTGACATTGACGGCCCGGAAGTGAAGCTTATTTGCAGACGTGCATGATATGTTGTATGTATATAGACCATATTCAGCCATGATTTGGCTGCGATTCTTATCACTTGATTCCATGTTGGAGAGATTGACTGGCCATGTTTGGCGGTGGTACGTTTGGTAGAGCTATCTGAGTCCTGGCACCGAATGCTGCCAGAGCTACGACAAGTGGCCATTTGTGAAAGATGGACGGACGTGTGCCTTGGTTTTCAATTTGATCCTTTGTTTCCAAGTGTCAGTGGCTTACATGCCGACATCGAATGTCATGTGCATTGTGATTCTCAACTCAACTGTTTTGCTTATTATGGCTGGTTTTTATGTACAGCAGTAATTATGTCATTGACGAGATGGCGGCCAATTGCCAAGGTTCAGGCTGCATGGCCCTGGTCAAGACCGAGCCTTTTGGAGGCAGGTGTGACGCTTTGCCGCAAAAGAAGCCGTGTGTCACTGTTTGCCACGAGATGCCAATGAGGCTGCCCAAATTGCTCAAGGCATCTCCACCTAGCAAGTAGCTGTACAATGCTGTACAGCATTTTGCCCTTTTGGCGGACAGGGTTGGTTCCCAGCCTGAGGTTGCTGACTTTTGCTTTCCACACGGTTAGATTTACCGTGCCTGAGGACAAATATTGTGAGAGCTTTGGGCATGAATGCGTCACAGCCGCAGAAGAAGTCAACAACAACTGAGACTCGGCAAAACCCATCTTCGCGCAGAGAAGCAGGCTAATTTACAGTATATGCGAGTTATCTAATTAACGTGTGAAGGATTGGGATATTGATGGATATTAATATTCCATTCCAGTCACATTGACTGAACTATGCTGGCCACATGCTAATGCTTTGGACTCTTGGGGTCAAGTCTTGGCCTTGCTTTACGAAGACTCGTTGTGAAATACTATATATATCTATATATATATAGATCTAAAAAACCGAGAGGAATCTTCAAACTAAAGGATGCGCAGGCACGAAACGTTTGCGTGGCACTTGGCTGAGCAAACTTGGCGAAGTCAGGCGCAATCAAATATTCGCAAGGATGCTTGGCAGCAGCAATGCTAAAACGTTCCGACTGCCATTTGAAAGACAACAAGTCAGCGGAATCTGAAGCACTTAACCAAGCTGAGACTGTGACAAGCCCATCGAGGGGACATCGGACATGCTTTGCACTTGCCGACTCCAGACAGCTGTGCCACGCTTGCAGAAAGGCTCAATGAAAGGCTCAATTACATGATGCTACAGGCATAGGCTTGCCTAAGTCTAAGTGTAGTTTGCGTAATGAGTTACGTAACCCCCTAGCTCACCGTGCAAGTTACTTCCCGCTTCGGGGTGTGTGGACCGGAATCATGGTATGTACCACTATCAACTATATACTATCCATCAAGACCCGCAAATGTTTTGAGCGTCCGTGTCGCATCCATTACGTTTGTAGATGTTTGTGGTTTGCTGGCTGGGCCGACTGGGGAACCCTGGCCCTTACCCACGCTTACCTCAAGGGAGGTTGTGGCATTTACACTCATCAAGCCTATGCAACTCACTGACTGGAACAATAAACTAACACTTGACACATTGCTGACATGTTCGGAAATACCATATCATGAATCTATCATGGATGTGACAATGTGGCTCTCAGAAAGGTACAACTGACATTCCGCAAAAGCTGCTAGAGAGACATGCACTAAAGTGGGCTGCGGACTTTGACAGTGGCACTTCATGAAGCATCGGGTGCATGCTTTTGTCCCAACGACCCTGCATGTTTTGCTTGTCCAATTCCGAAATTCACTTCAGCCTAGGCTTGCTTGGTTGCAAACATTTTACATGCGTCTAAGCGACTGTCCTGAAGTTTTACAAAGCTGGTCACAAATACAACCGATTCGCAACAGGAAACACCCCCGGGAGGTGTTCCAGCATTGACATAATGTAGACTCTTGATTAGTCAACCCCCTCCCGCCCCCCCTCAACAACCAAGGCCTCCAAAATGATATAACTAGAAAACCAATCAACTGATAAATATAGAATCCTTACTAAGCTACCTGTGGAGCTACTCTGGCAATATTAAATTGAAAGGAATCAATGAAACCTCAGATTGAAGACATCTGGAATAGTACAATAAAAGGGAATCAATGGAACTGGACATGGAACTCTGTAAATTTCAATGAACATCTGAATCCAAAGACCTTGCATTATTTCATCCTGTGTTTGGAAGGTTTTGGAAAGCTTAAATATGCAAGAGCTTAGGAAAAGTAAAGGAATAGAAGGTAAGTACAGCAAAGCAAAAGACAAAGAAAAGGAATCAAGATAAGTTCTTGTAAAGCTGCACCTCTAATCTCTAGACAATATTCTAGGGCCCCAAAAAAATGATGTAAGAAAGCTGCTTGCTGGACTACCCCCTTTGCTTGAATGGTGTTGTGTGTTTTCAATGCTTTTGAATAAGGCTTTTTGCAAAGAAAGTGCGCACAGACTTCAAAGTTTTTGGAAAACTTAAAGATTCAGGGGCTTAGGAAAAGTAAAGGAATGTATAGAATTTAAGTACAGCAAAGCAAAAAACAAAGAAAAGGAATTAATAAAAGTTCCTTTAATGCTGCAACCCAAATATGTTTAAAGCCTCAAATCTCTAGACATCATTCTAGGGGCCCCTCCAAAATATTGTCAGAAAGCTGCTTGCTGGACAAAAGGAAAAGAAAAGGTATAAAGATAACTTCTTGTAAAGCTGCAACCCACGTATTTTTAAAGCCTCAAATCTCCAGACATTATTCTAGGGCTCCAAAAAGTAATGTCAGAAAGCTGCTTGCTGGACTACCCCCTTTGCTTGAATGATTTTGTGTATGTTCAATGCTTCTGAACAAGGGTTTTTGCAACGAAAGTGCGCACAGACTTCAAAGTTTTTGGAAAGCTTAAAGATTCAAGAGCTTCAGACAAGTAAAGGAGTAGAAGGTAAGTACAGCAAAGCAGACGACAAAGAAAAGGAATCAAGATAAGTTCTTGTAAAGCTGCAACCCATGAATGTTTAAAGCCTCAAATCTTTGGACACTATTCTAGGGCCCCCAAAAATAATGTAAGAAAGCTGCTTGCTGGACTACCCCCTTTGCTTGAATGATGTGTTTGTTCAATGCTTTTGAATAAGGGTGTTTGCAAAGAAAAAGTGTTTGGAAAGCTTAAAGATTCAAGAGCTTAGGATTAATAAAGGAATAGAAGGTAAGTACAGCAAAGCAAAAGACAAAGAAAAGGAATCAAGATAAGTTCTTGTAAAGCTGCAACCCATGTAATTTTAAAACCTCAAATCTCTAGACATTGTAAGGGCTTCGCCCGGGTGCCACCGACCCCTTTTCAGGAGGAGTGTAGCATGTGTAACTAAAGGCGTTTGTGTAGTTCCGGTGGTTGCCCGTCTGTGGAAAGAAGATGGGCGTTCTAGCCTTAGGAGGCTGAAGCTAGGGAGTGCAAGTACTATGCACGGTCGTGGTGGGCTGGGGTGCTGCAGGGGCAGTGGTTTTGACATGACTTGATTAATTTGGACTTTGGGGATTCCAATGGCCATCTGGCCAACAAAGGACAACCGTTTGTGAGGGCCCTGCCTGGCAGCTCAGAGCTGACCAGGTGAGGCTTGCGGTGATGCAGCCCAGGTGCTGACATCACTGCTTCTTACGAACGGTCGCTGGTCTGTGGGCGTGGTCCGGTGTTGGCACGGTGGCAGTTAGAATCCCTCAAGTCCACCGCGGACGAGCGATGAAAAGACCAGAGGGGATACATCCTGGACCTGTACTCAGAAGAAAGGGGTGTGACAATCTCAGAAGGGGAAGATGGACAGTTTGACATCCCAACCCTCCGAGAAGCACAAGGACTTGTCGGTGAACTGCAATGGCTGTCAGGTCGAACAAGGCCTGATATCACTCACGCAACGGGCGTGCTCAGCCAACAGATGCATCGCAAGCCGGCGGACGTGGCGCTTCAAGCAAGAGCACTCCTTGGTTACCTGAAGGCGACAGCTGACTGGGGACTACACTATGAAAAGTGTGACGGGGAAGCTTCCTTCGGGGACATGGGTGAGCTTAAGTACCAAAGTCTGAAGCATGTGGAGGCATACTCCGATGCATCATTTGCACCAGTGGGGGAGCAGTTCAAATCTGTCCAAGGAACGATCGTCGCAGTTGCGGGATGTGCAGTGTTGTGGTCATCCTCAAGACAACCGTTTGTTAGTGGATCAACTGCAGAAGCTGAGTTGCTGAGCTACATGGAATGTCACCAGCAAGCAGAGGGGGTAGCGTCTCTGCTTGAGTGCCTCACGAGATCGGATGTGCAGAGGTGCGTCTATGGTGACAACCGCAGCGCCCTGAGCCTGTGCATGGGTGATGTGGGCGCGTGGAGAACAAGACACCTACGCCTGCGTGCTGCAGGTTTGCGGTCAGCAGTTGCGTGTGCTGCAAGCGCTGGGCGGTGCACCATGTCAAAGGCTCTGAGCTCCCTGCAGATGGCCTGACTAAGGCACTCCAAGGCACTAACCTGGTTGAGAAAGGTTGGAAAAAGATGGGAGAAGGAAGATGAACTCTCCCCAGTGCTGCTGATGCAAATAGAAATCTGCATCCAAAGACCTGCAAAACCATCAATTCGATCATCAATTCTCAAAGGAAAGCTCCAAAATTCCAATAGAAATCTGATGAAATTTGCATAAATATCAATCCCAAGGCCTTTAGAATGATTAAATCACAGCAAACCCAAAAGGGAAAATACCAATTCAACACAAAAAAACATATCCCACTACAACAACCCTCTTCCCAAAAAATACATTATTCTATATTATTCTGGGGGCCTTTATTAATCTGACTGTATTCTAGGGGCGTTTATTAATCAGAGGATCACATTATTGATCATATTGCTTGTGTCCAACTGTTTTATATTTATATATATATATATTGTTTTGTGCTCGTGAAGGATGCTCCAGCAATGCTGTCAGGCCTGTAACAAGGTACACTATACTATGCAAGTCCATAAATGTTTGGTTCCGGAGGAGGTTGGTGAAGGAGGGGGGTCCACCTATAGTCCCGCCGCCCCATTGTAAAATAAGTGGCAGGTAAGACGTAGTGTGGCATAGCTTTGATAGGGGCCAAGGATGTTGCTGTCAAGGGTCTTGGTCATGTCTAGCTTTAGCTGCCGGCTGTTGCAAATGTGTTTTGATTGCATTGAACTTATTGCGGCAAGGTTGATGAGCCCAAGTGCGACTGGCCAGGGCCCCCCCCGCCAACTACAACAACAACTACTACAACTGCTGCCCCTACTACATCACAACCGATCAATAACCAGTGCTGCCCAAAGTTCGACAAGTGGCCCGACGCGACTTGGCGGTAACAGGTTTCAACTTGATGCATAAACGTATGATGACATTTTGACAGCTTTGAGGTGGATAATGGAGTAACCTGTGGCGACTGCGTGGCATTGGTCTTGGCAGAAAAATATGGCGGCAGGTGCGATCGCTATTGCGAAAGCTTCGGGCAAGTTTGTGTGAGGGCTGCTGAAGAGCGAGATGAGAACTGCGAAGTGAAGTATGAAGCCTCTTGCAATGAAGCAATCACTGGCACCTCCGATATACTGTGCCAATGTGTAGAGAACAACGCACCACCCGGGTGCCCTGCGACAACAACAACGACGTCTCAAACTCCATCACCGACAAAGCGAATCCAAGTGGTTGGAGCTTAAACTGCCATTGATAGACTGATGAGTTGCAAACTATAGCATCGCTATTTGCTGCTAGAGTCTCTTTGGCTTAACTTGCCAGCCTTCACTTTTGCCAAGGAAATCAAATTCTTGTGGATGGAGCACCCTTACATTTGAAGGGCGTAGCCTGGAATCCAGTGCCCAAAGGTGGCGTTCATCCAGCTGATTTGGACTTCGCCCGATTTGTAGATGAAGACTCGAAGCTCATGCAAGAGATGGGCATCAATGCTGCCTCGCGGTTGCATCCACGTATATAATCTCCACCAGCAGAATCAAGGGCCCCTCTTGTTTCAATGAACGCATGGCACCAGGATGCCACGCTCCTTTCAAGATCCTAGGTGTAAGCAACCCCATTCTGGCGCTGTCTACAGCATATTATATATATATGTATCGCCTATATCGTGCTTCTAAATCTTTTCACATGATCAGCCATTGCACCTCAACGCGGTAAGGTTCGCACGTACGAGTCCATAGTTGACAAGAATGTCCTGGACACCTTGTGGAAAAGAGGCCGCCAGACCTTGCAGATTTGCCTTGCAAGAAACGAAAGCCAAGACGTTGCTGACGTTGCTACCTTCGCCAAACTCGAGCTGTGTATAAGGAATCCGTTTCCTGGAAAAGAAAGCTACTAGGGGCTCCTGGCCTCACTGCTAGGAGCAAGGACGCTACTAGTAACAAAGGGCATCGCTACTAGGAGCAACCCTCGCAAAGAACCCATAATCTCGCAAACCTTTTGTGCGAGGGTTCTTCGAGGAAGCTGCCCCTGCCGCTTCCTGCCCCCGCTAGGAATGGAACCATTGGAAATGTCTCTTTAGCGCATTTAAAGAAGAACTTGGAAATGTATTATGTGTCAAAGCTGAAGGAATTTGGGTGGTGAACAGCGTGTACAACTGGGGTGGTGCAGATGCTGATTCAGCGGCTGAGCCTGTGAAGGCTACAAAAGATCATCCAGCAATTTTAATGTGGACGATTGGACGCTTAGAGGAAAGAGAACAAAAAAGGAAGAATGGAGGGGCACAGGCTGAAGGACGGAGTTAGGAAAGCAATAATATGTAAAGAACGAACGAATGAACGAAACAAAGAAATTGGAGGTCTAAAGGAGCCTAAGAGAGAACAAGTGATTCATTACTATAGTATTCAGTGGTGCTTTTCCAGGAATACAGAAGAAACCTCGTTGTAAGAACCGGTTCGACTATATAAATGATGGCAAAATGTGAAATGAATGATATGAATGTGACCAAGGAAATGAATGGAACTACAACGGCCTCTATGTTGGTAGCAGCTTCTTTGACTCTGTTGGCAAGATCCGAGATGTGGCAAGGGTCGTGAAGAAGCGGCTTGCCCAGATTTGAGCTGAGAAGATCACAACTCTTATGACTCTCAATGTGAATTGCGTGAGACATATTGCTAAGTGCTATTGGCTTCTGAAGGTATGACAACGGCTTGCATCCGATTGCCTCCATCTATGGTGACGTGGGTAAGTTGGACCAAGCAGTGGACTCGCTGCCAGAGATCGACCTTTGGGGTATCAACGCATACCGAGGGATTAGATCCTCAGCTGACTTTGCCAAACCTACTAGGGGAGGCTACTTGGGGCTCCTGGCATCGCTACTAGGAGCATGGACGCTACTAGGGGCTCCTAGCCTTACTAGGAGCAAGGACGCTACTAGGAGCAAAGGGCATCGGACCTTATTTGCGATTCCACCACTTGTCCTCTCGGTCGTCGGTCACGCTCTTGATCTCGCCGGAGTGAGAGCCAGAGTGCAGACTTGTGATGGCAATCAGGAGTGTACCAGGAATAGACCTGGTGATTACACAAGAAACACGGAGCCCCAGCACCCAATGGAAACTGCAAAGAAGGATCCAAAATGGCCCAGGGATGCACATCGCGGAAGAAAAACAAAAGTCCGGATCTGGAGCAATATTGAGAAGCAACAAGCCCCTCAGACTTTGTGACTTGTGCATATCAACGCTGCGAGATGGCGCGCAAAAAGGAAGTCACGTGGGTTCGCTCGAACAAGAAAGCACATGTTTAGCTCTAAGCCTCTAAGGCTTGGCTGAGGCAGTAACTTGTAAGTCCTTAACACCATTCAAACATCATTGAACTCCCCTTTTGCTGTTCAGTGAGTGGAGCTGCTCCATGCACATTCATTCTATTGCTGTCAAGGTTTTGGCAACCTCTTCCGTGATTTCGAAAAAATCACCGGTAAGCCAATGTTTTTCGGACTCTTGGCTTACGCGAGCTTGGCCGTTTTTCTTGCATCGATGTGCATCCGATCCCCCGAGACGGAAAACAACACTCCCAGGTGAATACGGCGCCGATGCCTTTAATGCAGACAAGAATGGAGAAGATCAGGAATCGCAGGCGAAGGCTACACGGCAGCTAACAGAAACTTTTCTGCAAAGCTCACGGAGCAGCAAACAAGGAAGAATTATTAACAAGCATAAGTTTTGGGCTGGACATTTTGGTATATTTTTGTATATGAATATGGCAAAACCGGACTGTTTCTTTATCGTGGTTCAGGAGCCAGGTTTCACACAGAGCCACCAGACTGATTGGAGGTTTGTTGCTCTAGATTGGCAAAAGTTCAATCATCTCCGCTTCACCTTGAAATTCTTGAGGAAGAGATCATCGGTCAGAGTTCTGTTTTGGGTCGCTCCTTGTCAGCATGTTGCACTTGGTGCATCACCCTGCCTGAGCAAACACATGCTCACCATCATTTGAAAGCCAAGGTGGACCATGCATAGGAGGCTTTATTTTCGAGTTCAGCATCTTGGATGGAGCACGGGTTCAATGTTTGTGTCCGGACATTGTTGTTAGTGTCAAGATGTGCTAAAAGGGAGAGGCATTGCTGCTGGTTGCATTTTTGTTGTGTTGACTCTCAGATGACGAATGGCACAAAGACAGCGACGGCAAGCCTGATCGTCATGATACTGGGGGCACCGCCCCTGGAGGAGGCCCTTATCCCGACATGACTTTCAACGAGGACGGATGATAGCTGGCATGTTGTATGACTCATTAATTACTATCTCGAAAGGCAAAAGGCACTGAAGCACCTTTTCTCAGCTCGAACAAGAAATGCCTCCATATTGGGCATACATGGTATTCACATCACTTCACAGACTCCCCCTCCGCCACTTTGGCGGATTGCATGGACATGAAGAAAAGTCCAAAACACGGGGCTCAAGGCATTCAAGTTCTCTTAGAGCTTTTAGCTCTATAGTATTCGGCTCGCATCTTGTCGGCCGACCATCCTTTGCCAGCATTGTCGTGCTGGAAGCGGTTCCATGGGTTCGTAGGAACCGGCTCACTCCTCTGGCTTCTCTGATGGCTCGCCTGCGCCTTCACCACCAGGTTCATAGGATGGCTCGACTGCGCCACCACTTTGTGCAGCCTTGCCGAAGCTGCTATCGCTTGCTCGGCGACTTGCCCAGCTACCATGGCTTGCTCCGCGGCTTGAGCTGCCAGCTCTGCATTTTCAGCCGCCTTCTCAGCTCCTTCAGCCGCGGCACAGGCTGCTTGAAGAGCTCGTTCACTTGAAACGCTCAGTGTGCTGGGGCTCTCGCAGCCCCCCTTCTTTTCCAGCGATCGTGCCATAGAGCTCCGCCGTCAGCCGTCTCATAGTCCCCCTTTCCTTTTCGACCCTCGAATCATCATCACGACCCGGGCCCTCTATCAGCATGGCTTCGGCTGCATCGAAAGGGCGCCCATCAGCTTCTTCTTCGGTTGCTGACTCACTTTCCGCAGCCTCATTCTGGTAGTAGAGCTCCGCATCCTTGGTCGCATCAAACGCGAGGAGGTAGCCAGGATCCTTTCTTCAGCCCCGGACTCATCGTCTAAGCCAGGCATCTCGCTAGACAGCACTTGCAATCGACGAAGGCAGCAACGCACCGAAGCGCAGGCCGTCTTCATTACCCAGATTGCCCCAATCACCACCAGCATTAGGCCACAAAGCCATAGACGACCAAAGGCTGTATCCATATCCTGATCCCCTTGCGCTTCAGCGGCTTGAACTAGCAGTCCACCCACCAGCAGCGCCCGTGATCTTGTGCTTGAGGCGGCAAGCTGCCACCAACCAGGCTCTTCACCTGGGGCCCAGGTCTCGCTGAAAGCCTTCAAAACTCTGCCCCAGCAGCGGCTTTGTCGTGCCGTCCGCCACCAACTCAGTCCCCTTGAGGTGGTTGAGCTTCCATGAACCGCCGGGAAAGGACGGTTGTCCTTCAATGGCTTCTCGAAGGATGTTGGAACGGACTCTCAAGTGCCTCGTCCGCCACGAATTGCTGCTGTTCCCGTGAGCGAGGCCAATTGCTGCAGCATTGTCCCCATAGATCACCCGCTCAAAGGAGTTTGCCGTCAGCTGCTCCCCCCACATAGCACATAGGAGTGCCTCCGTCGCTCTTCCTGCCGTCAAAGCCTCACAGTACGAAACCAGCTCGGCTTCTGCAGTGCTGTGGCAAACGAAAGGTTGGGTGGAGCTCTGCCATGCTATTGGTGCACCAGCAAAACATAGCACCAAACCTTGGATGCTCTTGTAACCACTTCCGGTGCCATACGCGATGTCCGCGAACACTTCCAGCAGGCGTTCATGCCTTTGGACTTTCAATTGATCTCTGGCTCCCCACTTGTTCTGGATGTTCTTGGAATAGTGGAGGCCACCTGGATTGCCCTTCACATATAGGCCAACAATCCATACCCAATTTCGATCGCCTTGGCCGGATTCCGAGTGACCAGTCTGCTGATCGCTGCGACACGAAGGCAAGATCCGGCCTCGACCTTGTGGACAGCCATAAGAGGGAACCAGCCAGGGCCTGCGCTTCTCGGACTTGATTCCTGTCGATGTCGGGCTGTTGCTCACCATCAGCTTCATCGACCTTGAAGTTGGGGAAGGTCGTGGGAGTATTGACATTCCACCTGGCCAGAAGCTCCTGCTCATACTTGTTTTGAGCGATGTGGAAACCATCTCCTTCAGCATCCGGGGTGATCTCAAAACCGCAGAAATGGACTGCTGACGTGGATGAAGCCCATTCGATGTTTGACGTGGTCCATGTTGCAGAGAACTTAGGGCGACCTTCACCGTAGCTTCTTCACCCGAAACTAAGATGTCGTCCACGTAGACATCAACCCCGTCCAGTGCTTCTCACCCGACTCAACGTCGACCTCCTCAATCCTCCACAGGTTCTCGTCCTCCGTTTTGATGAAGTGGCCTCTGACCCTCTTGGCCTGATTGTTTTCCATCCTCACCCGGACCCAACTGACAACCGGCAGGGTGCGGTCTCTGTATTGTGACCAGTCCCGTGGAGACGTGGTGAGCCCGTACATAGCCAGACGCACCAACCACACTTCACCCTCCTTGGCCAGACCCAGGCGGCGATACACAGCAGGGATCTCCATCGCGACCAATTTGCCATCTTCACGACGAGGGGCATTCAAGAAAGCAACGCGGATGTCAGTGGCTGCTATTCGCCAGTCCTTGAGAGCCGCGGTCCTCACCAACGCCCTCACCTGATATCCATCAGCTCCTCCAGCATAGCAATCTCCGTCAAACCTGTTCTCGGAGTAGTTGCCACAGCATACGGCACGAGCTCGCCGAGTACCGGTCCCAGCTTTTCGGGTGTACACCATCTTGGCCGGGAGCAACTCTATTGTCTTTCCTTCCTTGGCTGCACGGGCCCTCAGGGCCTCCTTTGTGATCTGCTCTACAGCCTGCTTCGTTGTGACTAATTGCCCGTGCTCTGCCGTGATGGCCGGGGCCCAATTCTCAAAGTCCTCCATGACTTCCTTTGCGCTCACCGTCTTGGTGACCAGAAACTCCTCTTCCATCTCCTTTTGATCGATCATTCGATCATCATGGTCTGCTCTGAGGAGGGTTTCTTCTACTTCAAGCTTTTGCATGATCCTCCGTAAGGACCTCCATGTAGCAGCCTTGATCTTGGTTGGTCACATCGACCAGTTGCATCTCCTCCCCGATGTACTGCGCCAAGTTCGCCTGAATCAGTCGAAGGATTCGAATCCTGGGTTGTGGAGCCTTCCCAACAAAGGGTGCTTTTGCGGGGCCACCAGGCGTGAGCCACCATCCTGGTTGTTTGGCGCCCCCTCCCACTCCCCTCCTCCATGCCAGTCCACCTCCTTCAAACCTTCATCATTTTGGGTCTGTTGGGAGGCTTCCCCTTCACTGGAACTGGACGAGGTTCGTTCCGGCGTTTCAATAGTCCAGCTGTCACTGCTCACTTCCATCGTGCGGAGTGCGGCGTCCTCCAATGGCATGGTTGCAATTGGATCAAACTGATCTTGATGTGACTGGAGCCATCGCTGCACCCGTTCCTCCCCTTCCATGCAGAGCATGGACAACTGAGGTATAGCTGTCTTCTCACGGAGCCGCCTCCGGGGGATCTCACCGTCCCAGAGAGCTTGTCCAGGCTGGTCGAACAAGACTGGAAGATGTACCAAAGCTTCTTCAGCCTCCGGCTGATCGGCCGCCGGGACCACCAATCGTCCGTGTAGAAGAACTTCTTGGTCTCCAAGGATTGCGCATAGTAATTTGTGGTGGTCATAGAAGACTGCAAAGCGGGACCTAGTACCACCACTTCATCACATAACTCTCGCCACGGCTGATATCGATCTTGCCATGACTTCTTGAGGGCGTATGCCCGGGCACCAAATTGCAACAAGGGGCCCACTGGAAAACCCATCCTTCTGAGTTGGCTACGAAGGCGGCGTTCCCCAACATGGATCGCAGCGAGCGGTCACATCTCCAAACCAAGGCCTGTGGCTGTGAGGATGGTACGGACATGCTTTTTCACGACCCCCAATTCACCTTCAACACGACCATTGGACTTGTAGCTGCCACCAGAGGTCAAAGTCGTAGTGATGCCACGATCCAGCGTCCACCGACGCACCGGTGCTGAGATCAATTCTCAAACGTGAGATTGCGGACCATCACATCTGGGTTTTCCTCCACCTTCGCCCGCCATGCTTCCAGAGCTTCACGACCTTTTCGCGCTGCTCCTGCGTCCTCCTCCGGAGCCTCATATGGTTCTTCACCCATCACCTCCTCCCCGTCTTCACCACCTGGTTCGGAAGGCGTATATTCTTCCATGTCGATGGAGGGCACAGGAGGTGCCGCTTCAGCCGAGGAACCCACCCCAGTCTTGATGCCGGTGTTCACATCTGCCAGCGCACGACCTGAACTATCCACCGGAAAGGTGTAGACTGCCACCATCATGTACTTACAGCCTTGACGATGTTGATCCTGCCCAACCACCATCTTACCGGAGAGGTCCACACTCAACGTAAAGGCCTCCGGGTGGCTGATCCGCTTGTGCGGCTTGCTTCGAGCTGCAGCTTGCACACAATGTTTACAGTCCCTTCGCGCAGGCATATGGTCGTGCAGGTAGTGCTGTCGCCAGCTGTCAAGGGCTGTTGAATTCAAAGGACGAAGCGCTGCTTCTGAGGATGGATTGATGCCACGGTGCAAACGGTCTTGTAAAGCCAGCGCCAAAGCTACCTTGAGACCAGGAGCCCATGCTGCCCACTGCTTGGAGTCATTGCACCTCTCTTGCATCGTCATCTCACGGCGGTCTTGAGGTGGACCTTCAGGAGCGATGCCACGCGGTGGTCCACGGAGCTCATTCAGCACCTGAATGTCTCGAAGGCCAGCCACTGCCAAAGTAGTTGGCTTCTTCTTCGAATGGCCCATCGGACCTTGGTCAAAGTGAAGCAACGCTTTCAAGTCTTTGTGGCGCCTTTGCTTTCTGGCAGGTATCAGAATCCCGATGCAAGCGTGCTGAACTCAATGCTGTGCTGAAGGAGCTCAAGAAGTGGCCTTGGCATGTACACAAAAACCATAAGCGCACACCATATTTTCTGATTTGACAGGGGCTACGCTTGACTGATTTCCCCTCCATCTTTGGAGTGCATGGAGCACTCAGGTTTTGGATCTGTAGCTACAGCTAGGGCTCACTACCAGTGATGAGACGTTTTCCTGAGCATCTGAGCTTTTGTGTGAGTGTCAAAAAGCTGCTGTGTTTTGCACACACACCGAGAATCTGCTGCAACCTCCCCATGCCGTAAGATTTTTAAACTGTTTCAGCTTCTCTTCAGGTACTGCTGCAGATGTCAGACAGGCTTTGGATGAAAGGCCTGTCAGTTTCACACGGAGAGGAGAAAAGTGTGAGATGTTGAGGCTTGCTGGTGAAGTTTTGACAGGGGGGCTGTACCCTGGCCACTGCGGCAAGACTTGGTGAGGCTTTTGGTTCGTCTGTTTTTGGGTCTGGCTCTTGGATCTCATTCTGCTGCGGCTTTTGTTAAGTTTCCGCTTTTCAGGAATGCGGCCACTAGAGATGAAAGGGCTCACCGCAGACTTGTGAAATCGGGCTTGGCTTTAGACAAGATCATCAGCTGGCACATGATACCTGTCCTTAATGAGGACGATGAGCTGGTGTTTGAATCATGGCCATTTATTCTTCCACATGACATGGAGCTGGGCTCAGTCAACAACGTTGCCTTTCCTTGGCGTCAATGGCTCTGACTGGAATTGTGTGGGGTGTGGGGCTTCATTCGCTGCAGGTCCGATGTCTCTGTGAGCATGGCTACCGTGACCTTTTTGGTCACTGTGGTGATGAGAACTGGCAAGTATACCAGGATGGCTTTGGCGTTGAACGGCCGGAAGGTGACTCCTTCCCGCTTGCCTTCTTTGGGGATGAAGTTGAAGTATTTGACAAACAGCAATATATGTGCATCAACTTCAGCTCCGAAAGCAACCCGCTGTACAAGAACTCTTTTGTCTCCAGGTTTCTCATTTTTATGATGCCAGTCTCAAAATATTACATCCAAGGGAAGAAAAAAGAGAAAACAAATCTTTCACTACAGGAGGCTTTGAAAATTATCACGGCCTCACTCAACAAATTGGGTGTTGAAGGATCGCATGGCTTGAGAGGAGTTTGTGCATCGATCAGGGGAGATTGGAAGTGGCTTGTTCAAGCGCTGCAGCTCAAATATGGACCTAGTTCAAATGAAATCTGTGCTGTGTGCAAGGCAACTCGTGGCTTGCAGGTGCCTCTGACAGACTTGAGCGATTCAGCGGGGTGGAGGTCTCAACTCCGTGATGGTGAGGTCTGGTTTGCAAGGCCTCCTTTAGCCAACCTGCGCAACTTCAGCATGCGGTTGGTTACCTTTGACATAATGCACACGTTCCATCTTGGTTTTGGCCGAGATCTCGCAGCCAGTGTCCTGGTCTTTCTTCTCAAGAAGAACTGCTTCCCAGGGCCAAATGTGCTGGCCATTGACTGAGAAAGGTATTTGTGGGTTGAACTTGTTCTTTGCTTTGCTGAGGTTGATGCAAGGATGAAGAATGCAAGCATGCAAATCAAACAGTGGGGGAGGTTGAACTCAAAATATCGCTTGCCGTTTCGCTGGAACCTCAACAAACACAACTTGTCTTTGAAGACTAACAAGTTTGTCCACTATGTTGGGAAAGCGTGGCACCTTTTTGTACTCCTTGGTTTTCTGAATGACTTCCTGGATAGTACTGCGGTGGAAGTTGATGGAGACATCAAGATGGCAGTGTGGTCTGCCCTGCGTTTCACCCGCTTGCTCCAAAATGAGCGGGATGAGTCAGGGGTTTTCTTGAAGGAGGATGTGGCCAAGGAAGTGGAGGTGGTTGCATACAGGTATATGCAGCTTCATTTGGTATTGAACCGGAAGTATGAAAGGATGACTGTGTATCGGCTGTTCAATGTCAGACCGAAGATGCACTTGCTGTGTCATATTGTTGACTCCTGTCGTCAAACATTGAAAAACCCAGCAAGTGCCTCGTGTTGGCTGGAGGAGAACTGGGTAGGCCAGATTGCCAGGCTAGCAAGGAAGACGCATGTGCGCACTTCCCACTATTCCACCTTGATGCGATATGCTGCAGGACTGCTTGCTATGTTCTCTTGTTGCCTGGAGCAAAGTCATGTATGTTCTAGGACTGAAGTTTGCCATCAAGCAAGAATGGGACAAGTACAAGGCTCCCTATGAGCGCTGTGAAGGTGGTTGTTGCGCTTGTGTGCTGTGATGTCTGTGTCCTGTGAGGCGCCTGAAGCTGGAGGTCAACTACGTCGAGATCTACGAGCGCAAGAAGGCAGGGTCATGAACATGACATGTGACATGAGTCCATGCATGGGCGCATGTTCATATTCACCACATGTTCACTTTTCACCCATGTGTTTTCATAGTTGCGCAAAAGGTGTTCATGCATCCAATGCTTCACCTCATGCCACCTTATTCTGGTCCACTCCATTCCATGGTCTCAAACCATGTTCTGCGCACGCATGCATGTGCTCCATGTGTTGCGCGCTCATTCATCAAGAACTCACATACATGCACGTGTCATGCGCGCTCACTCATTCATAGCGCATGTCACTGTGCATGCCCATGAAACATGAGCGCGTCATGACATGTGCCTTCACTCACTCATGGCACGTGCACATGAAACATGATCATGTCACGTCATGTCATGGCATTCACTTCAAGTCATTTCACTCAGGGTTCATGTTCACATTTCATTCAGGGTTCATGTTCACGCACTCACTGACTCATTTCATTGCATGTAGAAATCAGGCACGGTCTGGGCCTCAGTTTGTAGTTCGTTGGGTTGTGTGTTGTGGTGCTGAGGGTTGGGCGACTGAAGGGCTGTGAGGACCAATTGCATCAAAAAGGTGCAAAGACGCTGAGCATCGGCCTTGTGCAAAACAGACGGGAGTGCATCTTAATGGTGCGCGTTCAGGTTGAGATGTTGGACTTGTTGATGTTGAGGTGAACTGTTAGGGGTTGAAGGTGTTAAGACTTTGTTGTACCACTGCATTTTTTCAGCTGGATTTGTTTGGTTCTTGAGTTTTTGTTGCTTCTTGAGGGTTGGGGAAGTGAAAATGGGTGAACCACGGTGTTTCAAGAGCTTTTGGGCAGAGAAACCAAAGGGGAGATCATATGGAAATGACCATTTCCGGGGGTTTTCATTAGGAAATGTCCCTCTGGGTTCGTCTGAGGCTGACACTCACAGACTTCGTATCGGCGACCTACTGCCCCTTCTATGACCGAGTGGGGAACCTAGGATATTGATCGTCGTTAAGGGGCATGGAGCCAATCCTTGAGCTCGATTATCACCGGAATCCCGGCCTCAGGATCTGGTAAACGCGGACCTCTTCTCGGGCCAAGGGGCCATCAGCAGTGCCTTCAGTGGGCTGCCCAGCTTTGGCAAGAGCCTCGAGCGGGTGTATAGGTCATGTCTATGACTCTCAGGATCTTCTGGACTGGCTACGTACAGCTCTCAGATCTCAGACCTAATTCTTGTTCAACTTCACTTCAGGCCTGTTGAGAATTTCCTCCATCGTCTTAGGTCTGAATATGACATGGTGCATGACCCCCATGAAAACAATATATGCACCATGCCGTGGCCTTGGAACCCCTTCCTTCGAAACCTCCTGGTGTGAGCCAGTGACTCAGGAGGGGCCTGCAAATGGCAATCCTACAAGTGCTCAGGGTGAAAGCGGATGGGGTGATCACCCTTGGACCGCCATGTTCAAGCTTCGTGTGGGTAAATGCCGCCACTAGTGGCAGGCGGAAGGGCCGCCCTTATGGCTTTGAGGACAAAGAGTATGTGGAACAAGCCAACATGAGCCTCGACTTTTTTTTGCTCCAGTATATTCGATAGCTCAAAATCTCGATCTAACTTGATCTAACATGGGTGTCGACCATCTAGAACATATGTCTCTGATTATCTCTGTACTGTCAACATGGTCTTTGGTCATCTTTGGTCCCTCATAAGCTTATTAATGACGTGTACTACCGTAAAAACACAAAAGCTTTTAAAGGGTGCTGAAGGGCTTTGCGACTGTGCCTCAGGATTACTTCGAGGGCCATTTTTTGATCATCTTGGCAACGGTCCGGGGTGTATACATATCGATGGAGCAGCCTGCTAGTAGTACCATGCGGTATTTCCCGGACCTTCGGATGGTGGCTGACCGCATTCGGCGCTACATGGGCGCCAGTTGGAACTCACAATTCTTGTGAGGGCCCCAATTGTGATGAGATTAAAAGTTAATAGATCATCCGGGGATGTGTGGGTTGCCCTGCGTGTGCCCAGTTACATGGGAGCTCATGGCTCGCCCACCCTGAAGCCTTCACGTTGCTGGGGCACAGCGTTGGCACCTCATTGTGATCATAGCAGGCCGACTGTTGACAGTCCCAGAATCTCGGACTAAGGAAATGGATCAAGGCACTACACGTGAAAATGTCTAAAGACCGCCGTCGTGAGCTGATTAGCAACGGAAAAAAAACTCAAAGTGACGATAAAGAAAAAGAAGGCCGATGGTACATATTCAGTGTCTGTCCCTGAGAATCGAATTCAAAGGCCAGAAGACGTAGATCTAGATCACTAGTTAGCTAGCTTTCGAAATATAGGTTCAGTCTGTTTGCAAACTGGGTTGTCATCAAGCAACAACCATCCGGGAATGGGCCTTCCGGCTTCACGAATGGCCAAGGTCTGGCGGTCCAGGCCTGAAGGCCACGCAGGTCTATCCGCGGAACTTTGGAAAGCGGATTTGCACTTTACACAAAGCTCTTATGGACCGAATTGTCCAACAATTCGACTTGGCCTTTTAGTTAGACGCAATGTTAGACAGAAACTATGAGTACTGCAGGAGAAAGATGGCATGAAACTGATGGCCAAAGTAAAATTTGCTTGGGAGAAGCTTCGCAAAGATAATGCCAAACCAGTGTGAGCCCCAAAACATGTGAAATTGGGATGCCTATTGATCTTTTCCCTGCCCAGGTCAGAACAACCGGAGCTTTCAAGAAGGCTGGCCTGGCTGAGATTCGACGGTGGCTCAAACGAGTGAATGCTAAGGGGGCTCTTACCAAATTGACCCTGTAAGGCAGGACCAGTTGAGGTCCACCTCTGTGATACATGCTCGCACAAGTAGGTTTGCGGCGCCCCCTCCAAGAAGTTTGACCAGGTTCTATGCCTCTTTGATGTTCTTTATGACTTCATGTCGACAATCTCTCCTCCAACTGCCTTTTCTGGTGCACTGCCCCATAGAAGCAGGGCGCCGGGCCACTTGTCATTGATCCGCAGGGTAAATTCGATGACCTGCCATAAATGTGGCTTAAAAGCTCAGGGGCGCACAAATCCTTCAAAACGATGTAGCGTGAAATAGCGTGAACTACCCGTGAAATGAGCGTGAACTACTATGTTTACCCGTGAAATACTATGTTTACCCGTGAACTGGGGACCCTTAGATTTTGTGAATAACTTTGTTGTTTGGGCGCCTCCTTTGAGCTTTGGAGCCCAAATTCGATGGGCACTGTGTAATATGAGTACACGTTACGTCAAGAAATGCTTTGTGCTGATTACATATTTCCATATTGGCCAGGCCTTTTGCAAATTATTGGATTTATGTGGTGCTTGTATGTTGGGTTTCGGAAGCCATTTGATTCATTTGATCAAGTTTTTAGAGCCGGCTACTTCAGTCATGGATGATTCTGAGATTCGAGAGGCTCTAGATAAGGCCAAAGCCAGGAAAATGAGGATTTCACCTGAATCGTCACCGGCTTTGGACATCAGTCGAGCACCAACCCTGCCCTATGAGTGTGCCTGACATGATTGGAATCGTTGATTTGTAAGATAATGTGATATCAGGGTATACGGCCTATGACAATTTGCCTGCCAGGCCATCAACAATCTCAAGATCCGGGTCAGTGGAGAGCGTGCTCTCGCCATCTACTAGTACTGATGCGCCAGCGCGTGACTAGACTGATCAATCTATATTCGGGGTTCCATTGAGCAGTCATATTCACAAATTGATTGTCAATTTTTGGTGGAGGGGCCGTGTCGGCTTGACTCAGGAGTTAGGAAGATAGTGGTGAAGAAAAAAGTTGTGAAAAAGAAGAGGGATGAGGCTGTTGCTAGTGCTGGTCAAGAAACACATTATCGTGATGAGGGCGCCGACGATGCTGAGTGGCATGGTGGAGTTCCCAATGGCTAAAAGATCCATGCTATGAGTACTTGTGGCCAAGTTGGCAGTGGCGCCCAAAGAAGTACTACAGTTGGTACAACCCAGACAACTATGAATCCGACATGTACAAGATGTACAAGCCACACCCCTAGTCTGAGAAAGACTGGTATGACGGTGGAAGCATTGGCACACCCAATCACTCTTCCCCTTCTACAGTTGATGATTCAAGTGGGTCCCCGGGTCTTTCAGCTGAGCGTTCCGGAAGTACTTTGCTGCAGGACCAGTTGAACCGATCCAATACTGGGCAGCAACTGAGTCTTGCCAGTTTTCAGGAAAGGCTTGACGCAGTAGCCACTCCAGACCGGAGGTTTCAGGCAGAAGAAAAGATCCGAGCGGAAGAGAAGGCAAAGGAGAAGAAAGCAGAAGAAGAAAGGATCCGAGCTGAAGAGAAGGCAAAGGCGGAGAAAGCAGAAGAAGAAAGGATCCGAGCTGAAGAGAAGACAGAAGAGGAGAAGAAAGCAGAAGAAGAAGAAAGGATCCGAGCTGAGAAGAAGGCAGAGGAGCAGAAGAAAGCAGAAGAAGAAAGGATCCGAGCTGAAGAGAAGGCAAAGGAGGAGGAGAAGAAAGAAGCAGAAGAAAGGATCCGAGCTGAGAAGAAGGCAGAGGAGAAGAAAGCTGCAGAAGAAAGGATCCGAGCTGAAGAGAAGGCAAAGGAGGAGGAGAAGAAAGCGGCAGAAGAAAATATCCGAGCTGAGAAGAAGGCAGAGGAGGAGAAGAAAGCTGCAGAAGAAAGGATCCGAGCTGAGAAGAAGGCAGAGGAGGTGAAGAAAGCAGAAGAAGAAAGGATCCGAGCTGAGCAGAAGGCAAAGGAGGAGAAAAAAGCTGCAGAAGAAAAGAACCGAGCTGAAAACAAGGCAGAGAAGGAGAAGGAGGCACAAAAAGAAAAGAATGGAGAGGAACAGCCAATGGACGACGAGGTGGATATATTGGTGTGGTCCTGTGCAATCAATCATGTTTTGCTTATCC